TATTTAAATTATTGACTTCGAAATGTGCAATCACATACCTACCCGATCAAAAAAAAACTAAGTAAGATTAATTCGAAAATAATAAATATTTAAAATCATCCGAATCACAAATTGCCCAATAAAAATAAATGTAGACTAATACATTTAATTTTATTTACCCGTAAGTTTGTCGTGACTACTCGTGACCCTTCATTATGCCCCGCGGTACCCCGTGCTAATATTATTTGCTTTAAGGGCCCTAAATACTGCTAATCATGTTTGTCACATATGTCATCTAGTTTCGCGAATAAATCGATAACAATTAGATTATTTCGACGATAATCATTTTTACCCCCCGTTACCTATAAAGAGGGTATCCAAATGTAATTTTTGACATATGGTAGATCTGTTTTTAAATCGTATCAATGTGTTTTGTAGAAATGCATACTTACATTATTTTTGTAGCCTAAGTTACTGGTTTTATCTATACTAATACTAGCTCTTACCCGCGGCGTTGCTCCCGTCATTTGACTACCTACCCTACTTTACCTACCCTACCCTACTATACCTACCCTACTTTACCTATCCTCCTATACCTAACCTACTCTTCCTACTCTATCCTATGTCCTTCTCCTGGGTCTAAACTACCTCCCTGCCAATTTTCAGCTAAATCGGTTCAGCCGTTCTTGAGTTATAAGTGGTGTAACTAACACGACTTTCTTTTATATATATATAGATTATTATAAAGAGGTACAATTTGTAGGTTTGTAAGTTTGTACGTAGGGGGTAATCTTTGGAACCACTGGTCGGATTGCCAAAATTCTTTCACTTATTTATAGCTACAGTGTTCCCGAGTGCTATAGGCTATAAAACATCACGCTACAATTAAATGGAGTCGAGCAGCGGCCTGAAACCACGGGGGAGTAGCTAATAAGTAATATAAAAAGGTTGTAATGAAACAGATTTTCATTCGGGTATGGTTGTTTTAAAATTCGCTTTATCAAAATGTAGGTGTACTTAGATTGATTACAACGTAACTTCACTACATAGTATAAAACAAAGTCGCTTTCTCTGTCCCTATATCCCTATGTGTGCTTAAATCTTTAAAACTACGCAACGGATTTTGATGCGGTATTTTATTAGATAGAGTGATTGAAGAGGAAGGTTTATATGTATAATAATATCAATTAAATAATGGAGAAATTAAGCTGAGTCGGGTCGCTAGTATGTTGTATATTAGACTGCAAATAAAGAATAGTGTGGGAGAGCAATGCTTCGACACGAATGGGTCGTCTCGTTCGGAGAGATACCACGGCCTCACAGAAAACCGGGGTGAAACAGCCACAGCATTGTGTTTCGCCGTGTGAGTGAGGTTACCGGAGGCCCAATCCTTCCCCTCCTCCAATCCCTCCCCAATCCTAAAATCCCCTAATCCCTAATTAATCCCCAAAAGGTCGGCGACGCAGTTTTAACTCTTTTGTTGTTGCGGTTGCAATAATGTCGTGGTGGCCCGGAGGTTAAGCAGCCCGCTTCTCATGCATGAGGGTGTGTATGAGGTTCGAAACCTGGCAAGTACCAATGTGACTTTTTCCGAGTTATATGTACTTTTATTTAGACACCACTGACATACGGTGAAGGTAAACATCGTGAGGTAACCTGGATTTATAATTTCTAATTATCAGTTTGAAATCGCCAACCCGCATTGAGCAAGCGTGGTGATTAATGCTCTAACCTTCTCAGTATGAGAAGAGGCCTTTGCTCAGCAGTGAGCATTTATAGGCTGAGGATGATGTTGTTGCGGGTGTCCATGGGCGGCGCTAATTGCTTACCATCAGGTAATACGTCTGCTGGTTTGCCGCACTATCACATAAAAAAGTATAATGTACCTTCAGTACTTTACATGAGATGAAAATAATATTTGTGTCTTCGTTATCAATAGATATGTTATCAGTAGAATAAGGCTCTGATTGTCGATACCTTGTATCATTTCTTATTATTGTGATATTATGATAAGTAAATAAGAATATTTTTTTATGTGATAGTCATGTACATAGGTACGTGGATCTGTCTGTCTGTGTGGTTGATTTTGTTTTGTAAAAGTGTCTTTTTAGACTTTGAAATTTATTTTTTTATCTTTTTTACAAAGTCAATTTTAACTAAACGACGTACAGTCAGGGGTCAAAAATGCAATTACACCCTACAAATTTTAAAATGACTAAAATTTATTTTGTAGTCACAGAATAAACTGGCTGTGAACCATTGAACTTTTCAATGGTTCACAGCCAGTTTATTCAATAATTTAGATTCTATGCTAGAAATTAAAGCAGTCCTCAACCATTGATTTATTTTACAAAGATATTTTGGTCATTTTAAAATTGGTAGAGCGCAATTGCATTTTTGGACCCTGACTGTACTTACAGGTAATTTTGAAATGTCAAAATAAAGTAATAATATTTTCATCAGTCTGTTCGTCAGTGGAGCTAGGTGTCAGTTTTTTATGTGATAGGATGGCAAAGGAGCTTACGGCTTGGGCGGCACTGATTGCTTACCATCAGGTAATCCGTACGCTCGCATGTCTTATTTAAACTTAAAAGCATTATTAAACCCACGGATATTTTAATAAGAGGGCAATGTTGTTGCAAAATGTCTGTGAGACCATAGTAACAAAAATCACGTTCACAAAAAGTCGCAATCAGCGACAGGGCTTTTTTTGTCAGGGGAAAATCATCAAATGACTTCTCCTGCCCAGGGTAAGGCGAGAGAGAGTGTCAGACTCTTACTGACTAAAAACCCCCCCGTTCTCCTGCTCTGGGCCGAGGCCGCGGTGACACATTGCGCTTACCCCGCAACCCCGGCAGAACATCAGCCCTATAGGGCCCCGCCTGTGGTGGTCTATTGGCTCTTTGAGGCGCGCGCGGAACGCTACGCGCCGTGCGCTCGGGTCTGGTTCTGGTCGGGCGGCGAGCTATCAGCGACTCAGCGACAGGGCTAAGAGTTTTGTAGGTACATTGAACATTCACGTACAGACAAAAGCACATTTTAGATAGATATCGTATCAACGATCGTCTTAAAACCTAGATTGCTCTATCATGATGAATTGATCGCAAATAAAATAAAAATATTATCTTTTTAGTTCATTGTATTGTACTCATAATGTACATTCAAAAAGCAATGACATTACTACGTCATATTAGGGTTCATTTTCCTTAGACCCGAGCGTACGGCGCGTAGCGTTCCGCGTCTCAAAGAGCCAATAGACCACCACATGACAGACGGGACCCTATAGGGCTGATGTTTAGTCGTGGTTGCCGGGTTCGGGGCACCGTAGCCTCGGTCTAGCTAGAGCAGGAGAAGGAACCGGGGAGGGGGGGGGGGGGGGTTAGCTAGTAAGAGTCTGACACTCTCTCTCGCCTAACTCTAGGCGGGAGAAGTCATTTGATGATTTTCCCCTGACAAAAAAAAAGTCCTGTCGCTGATTGCGACTTTTTGTGAAAGTGATTTTTGTTACTATGGCCTCACAGACATTTTGCAACAACATTGTCCTCTTATTTAAATATCCGTAGCTTTAATAATGCTTTTATGTTTAAATAAGACATGCGAGCGTACGGATTACCTGATGGTAAGCAATCAGTGCCAAAAGCTCCTTTGCCGTTCTATCCCATAAAAAACTGACACCTAGCTCCACTGACGAACAGACTGATAAAAATATTATTACTTTATTTTGACATTTCAAAATTACCTGTAAGTACAGTCAGGGGCCAAAAATGCAATTGCGCTCTACCAATTTTAAAATTTAACATTAGCCCTATAGGGCAATACAATGCAATACAATGAACATTAGCCCTATAGGGCTAACCCTATAGGGCTAATGTTCAGCCAGAGTTGCGGGTTAACCTCAATGAGTTACCGCGGTTTTTAGTCAGTAAGAGTCTGACACTCTCGCGCAAGTTGGGCGGGAGAAGTCATTTAATGATTTCTCTTCACAAAAAAACGGTAAAGGAAAACGTCGTGAGTTAACCTGGACTCATAATTTCTAATTATAAATTTGAAATCGCCAGTCCGCTTTGAGCAAGCGTTGTGATTAATGCTCAAACATTTTCCGTGAGAGAAAAGGGCTTCGCTCAACAGTGGATACTTATAGGCTGATTATGTGTTATGTGATGTGACGTTTATTTTATGTTTTATTTTCTAAATTTTCCAAATCAACGGATTCTAACTTTTGTAAATTATTTTATATTAACAAAACAGTCTTGCTAAAGAGGTTGAAGTTAAGACACGGGAAATAGATAAGATTAAGCAAAGATGAATGCTGTTTCTAAATCTGTTATCTTTTATCAGTATTAGGTACTTTGTGACAGAGTACCACCTTCTCACTAGCGTTTACAATCATTGTTCTATCATTATTAATCAAAACTTATAGATTGAGATATTCTAGAGATATCTTTCAAATTCCACATCACATCACATCAGCCTTTAAGAGCCCACTGCTGTTTTGAGCATTAATCACTACGCTTGCTCAATGCGGGTTGGCGATTTCAAACTTATAATAAGGTTTCCTCACGATGTTTTCCTCCGCTGTACGTCAGTGGTGTTGTAACAATATTATTTTTAAGAAAGTTTACAATTTAAGTTTAAGTTAATTTCTATTAAGTTATTTTTGTTTTCGTTTATGTTTATTTGTAATTCCCGAATTGTACTGAAGTTTTTAAATTTTATAAAAGGTAATAACGAGCTTTCACTGGGAGATAAGGATTCGATTGTTAAAAAAAAGAATTAAAAAGAAATTTACATAGAGGAGCCGACTTACTTTAACGTACCTATTGGATTTTTTTGATTTGGTTAGAGATAGAAAAAAAAGGTTTTATGAAATGTCATTAAACCATTTTGCTTTCGATAGTATTCCAGAGTTCTTTAGCTCGAATAACTAGGAACTGAAATCCTGGAGGGACTATAAACAAGGAAATCTAGACCTTATGAAGCACAACTTCTTTACCTCTGCTTAAAAAGTTCTGTGCACTTACCTCCAAGTTCAGGTATTCTATGGTAAAACATGCCAGTCCTCGCGAGCCATTCGAGCTGCATGTGATGAAGCACCCTGTCTCCAGGGTGATGGAAGGCGGACGGCAGTGGAGCTCCAGGGGGCAAAGCGCCCGGTTGTGACAGTTGAGGGTAATTGAATAGTGCAGCAGATTGGGCAGCTACTAAAGCTGGGTTTTGAGGTAACAACCCTGGCTTCGGGATTATGCCTGTGAAGAAAAAATATTCCTTTATTTTTCCATGTAATATAAGAATAAAGAATTCAGATTTTCTGTCATATTTAAAATCGCAGTTTTGTTTGCTTTTTTTGTGAGGGGAATATCGTTTAATGTATTTTCTCGCCCAGGGTTAGACGAGAGTGAGTGTCAGACTCTTACTGACTAAAAACCCCCGTTCCTTCTCCTACTTCAGGCCGGAGCCGGTTGAGCTGAGCAATGGCCCCGGCTAACGGCTGACATACTATTACGAATAAAACTGTAATACGACATATATCCAGGTCTAAAAAGATCTACTTTATAAAAATAAGTCAGGTTTTCTTTCCTGACGCGATAATCCCAGAACACACGAACCGATTTCCACGGTTTTGCATTCATTGGAAAGGTCTCGGGCTCCATAAGGTTTAAAGTAAAGAAAATTCAGAAAAACGTCAACAGAAAAGCGATAAAATCTTTTTTTGGCTACAAGATGGTGGCGAAACGGAGTTCGCCGGGTTTGCTAGTCTGAAAAGGTCAGCAACGGACTTGGAGCGGGTGTTAATGGGTGCCGAGAATTGCTTACCATCAGGTGACCCAACTGCTAGTTAGACCCTGTATGCCATAAAAACTAATATTTTCAATATCGCTGAGGACCTCCAAGCAATGTCACCACATAGTATAAAACAAAGTCTCTTTCCCTGTCCCCAAACCTATATGTATGCTAAAATCTTTAAAACTACACAACGGATTTTGATGCGGTTTATTTATTAGACAGAGTGATTAAAGTGAAAGGTTTATATGCATGATTCCATTAAATAGTGGAGGAATTTAGCAGCCTAACAAAGCCGGGTGAGTCCCTAGTTAAACTATAAATTTAACACGTAAAAATGATTTTAATGTAACCTCAACACAGATAACTGTGAAAGGAAAAAAATAAAAACAAACACCATACCTGGTCTATAACTCTCATATTCTTCATTTCCACCTTCCACTCCCGGCGATATCGGAGGACTGTAACTTCCAGATCTATTGCCATCATCAGACCCTGGACTAGCCGACCGACTGCTCTGCCCAGACCTGGGACTCCGTTGTCCAGAGGTAGGACTCTCCCGACCCTCGCATTTGTTAATCATATTCTGTTCAATTTGGGAATCGTAGTTATCCTGGTACCGTCCAATATAATTTTTATTATGTATAATTGTTAAATATTTCTGATGCGCCATTTTGTCCTGAAGACTATTTTCAGGCAACTGTCTTGAAAGAAGCGCGTCTATACAAAAAGACTTCTTTCCCTGATTCAAAATGGTCTTCTCTTCGTCAATTTGTTTATAAAACTTCATATTTTTTGGACTACTCGATCGGCTGCGGTCGGGGTTTGACTCTGTGTCGATTTCAAGCGGTTTTTCTTGGATTTCGTTCGAATCCCGACGGTAGATACCATGTGACATGATTTGGGATGACATCTTTTTTCGGTTAAGGGGTGATTTACATTATGCACCTGTAAGAAAAAAATGGTAAAAATTAATATTACTCAAGCTCTTGCCCGCGACTCCGTTCGCGTGGAATAGTGACTTCCTGCAGATTTTTGGTTTAAGAACTATCCAATGTCCCTTATCGAGTTCTAAACTTTGTCTGAACCAAATTTTAACAAAAATAGGTTCAGTCACATTCCGACATCTTTGCTTTTTACAAATTGGAAAATCTTAACAAATATTTTGCCCTAGCGAGACCGTTTGCTTAAAACTTCGCATTCAGACTTCACTTCAAACCTAATTAATCACCTGTTATGAAACATTATAAGTCATCATCATCATTAGCCATAAAACGCCCTATGCCTCCAATAGGTAGGACTATTGGAGGCAGAGGATGTTTTATCAATGATTTCCATATCGGTCAGATGCCAGTGACCTCTATCCAGGTCTTCAATGTCCAAGCATATATAAGAACTTGGTAAAAAAATATAAGAAATAATCAGTAAGCCGTCCAGAAAATCTTTGCTTAATTACTTGCTACGCCGCGTAGCGCAGTGGCTACGTCGTAACGCTGCTACGAATTATATTCATGGAACAAAAGATATACGTTGTAGACTTCAGCTCTAAGACAATTTTATTACTATCAAAATTTAATGCAGCAACGCTCTTCCAACTCCTCTGGCGTTGCGGGTTGCCTTACTATCACATAAAAAAAACCGACCATTATTTTATTTTGATATTTTAATAGTTACTGCGTATGCGACACCGTCATGACGAGGCCCAGCCTTTTCCTTCCCCAATCCCTCCCCAATCCTCCAAAGGTATAAGGTCAAACAGCATTGTGTTTCGTCGTGTAAGTAAATTTACTGGAGGCCCAATCCTTCCTCCTGAATTCCTAATTCCCAAAAGGTCGGCAATGCACGCATAACTCCTCCGGTTGTGTTATGTTGCGGTGTCCATGGTCTATGATTGCTTACCATCAGGTAATCCGTCAGAGTTGAGCTGCGTCCCCTATGACTTGTACAGTCATATTTATAAACCATTTAAACCATTGTTTAGCTACACATGCATAAGTTGAAAACGTACGTAAAAATAAACATTACACAAAAAATAAAAATATTTAGTGTAGCAAGGGGTCCATCTTAGTATATGCTGTGCTAATACACAGCACTGGTTTTCAGATGGCCCCTGACTGTTGGGATAACAAACACAGCTGCGCGCACACGAGATAAAAAAAAAAGAAAATGAATGATGTGATACAAAAAAAATGTAAGCACTTATCCTTGAAAAAAAACATATTTAACTAAGTTCGACAAAAAAAAAACACATTGCAAAATAATATAATTAATAAAACAAAGGCGTTTTATGACTGACACTATATTTGGAGGTTGTTACTCTGCCTTTTTTTTTTATTTAAAAATAATATACTCAAATGGTTTTTTAAAGCCATACGAGACTACTATTCTATTTTGACGTTTCAAAAGTACCTATTTATGGTTTAGTTGGAATAATTGATTTTTTATATTTTGATATTATAATTTAAAAAAACCCAATGTAATCGTAAAGTTATGAAACATAATTTATCAAATATATGATATAATATGATGCATTTTATTGGATCGCCACGTGACTAAAGTTAACAGAAAATGGAATTGAATGATGATAACGCATTATTAATGCTGATAATGAGTTTAATATTAGTATTGGTTAGTCAACGGTGGCCATAGTTATACTAATTCTATATTTATATAATATGTATAATTTTTTTTTCTTTTATATGTATTAAGTCATTTATTTTTTTAAACAAGATTGCTTGAGAATCTTCTTCAAAAAATGGGCGAATTCAAATCTATCGTAATTACTTTTATATGTATTTTATGTACTAGCTCGCGGCTTCATCCGCGTGGTATATTGACAAAAAGTAGCCTATGTCCTATTCCGGAGTGTATCCTATGCCTGTGCTTATTTCATCCAGATCCGTTCAGCCATTTTGGCGTAATTGAGTAACAAACATCCAAACATCGTAGCTTTCGCATTTATAATAATAGTAAGAGTTTTATTAGTTTATTTATTGACTGATATTTTATATGTCGAACATCGTGCGGGCCTTCAGGTTAAGGCATTTTAATAAAGGCAAGCTGGCAAGTACCAATGTGACTTTTTCCAAGTTATATGTAGGTACTTTCTATAATTATTTAGACACCTCTGATATACGGTAAAGGAAAACATCGTGAGGAAACCTGGTCTTTTTAATTTTTAATTTTAAAACACGATAACGGCATTGGGAAACATCGTGAACAAGAAATTATAATTTCTAATCATGAGATCGCCAATCCGCCTCATGCTTTATTATATTGTGTTGCCCAAACCTTCTCCGTATATGAAGACGCCTTTCCTCGGTAGCAGACATTTATAGAAAGAAAGAAAGAAAGAAAGAAAGAAAGAAAGAAAGAAAGAAAGAAAACCATTTATTTATCCATAGACTGATTTTACGAGCGATTTTCCTTTTGACTCGTGGAACTCTAAAAATAGGCTCTAATGAACTGATAAGCTCTAAGTGGTTAATTAAATGAAATTAAAAGCTCTTCACTGGTGATTGTTCATTATCGCCATTAATATAATATTATCTATACACTGAATCATTGGTTGAGTGCTTGGAAATGCGGTTACCGTTTCACCTAGAGCCATTTTCTAAATAAACGATAATTAATTATTTTTATAAATGTTCATCTTTTATAATAATAGTTCAAAACAGTACAGTACTTTTTTTTCAAGTATTTATAAGTAAGTACTTATTTTATATTTTCTTTCAATTATTTTTTTAATGTGATTTCCTATCACATAGAAAACATTAGGCAATGAGCATAAGGATTACCTGATGGTACGCAATTGCCGTCGCCTATGGATATTCCTAAGACCAAAGGAGCTACGACTGCTTTGTGGGATTAGGGCTTCGGAGATTTCAGAATTGGGCTAGGGGAAATATTGAGCCTAAGGTGACACTCACTCACACATCGAAACAAAACGTGTTTCTAATATTTTTGACGATTTATTGATTTTAATTGTTTTGTCACGTCAACATTTAGATCTCTAAATTAAATTTATATTCATTCATTCAATGAAGGTCATGAAGGCGTATTTAATGTCTAGTAGCATTCTCGATGATATCTTATGATAAAAGATTGCGTCTCCGGTAACCTCACTCACACAGCGAAACACAGCATTGTGGTCGTTTCGAGTCAGTTTTCTGTGAGCTTGTGGTATCACTCCGGTCGAGTTGCAACATTCGTGCCGAAGCTTGGCTCTCTTTCGTTTTCGTTTCGTTTCTTTGACGCAAAAATGGTTCGACCGTTTTGGTTAAAATTCGATATGTAGTGATCCCTTTGATTAACAAATAGGCTACTTTTTATCAATATACCCCGCAGGCGACGCCACGGGCGGAAGCTAGTTTAATATTATAAATGCAAAAGTTTGTAAGTACTGATGGATGTTTGTTACTCTTTCAAGTAAAAACTACTGAACGGATCTGAATGAAATTTGGCACAGAGATAGATTGTAGTCTGAAATAACACAAAGGCTACTTTTTACTCGGTACTTCAGATAAAGCTATTGGCAGAATTGAGTATAAAATAATTTTTAATTATATATCAGTCATCCAGATAATAATGGCACTTAAAACAAAGTGCTAAGGTTGAAATACGGATAGCAGAATGTCCTGTACGAATTAATCTATTGGTACAACTCTGGTTTAGCCAAGTTTTACCGCAGCCAGTCCGCTATGTTTGCAAATGGTTTTTGGTTTTAAACCCCACACATACACACATACGGACAAATATTTACACGCAAAACCAGTGACAAATATTCCTGAATTAGACGCCATTTTTTGGGTACCAAAATATCAGGTTTTTTTTATGGTGGAAAGTGGCATAAGAGCTGTAATTACCTGATGGTAAGCAATCGACGCCACCCATGGACACGACGGAGGAGTAACGAGTGCGAGATTTTGGGAATTAGGAGGGTTTGGGGATTGGGCCTCCGGTAACCTCACTCACACGGCGAAACACAACGGTGTGGTTGTTTCACGCCGGTTTTCTGTGAGGCAGTGGTATCAATCCGGTCGAGCCGACCCATTCGTGCCGAAGCATGGGAGAATTTATGTAAAAGGGTGGCAAAAGACCTAGGCGGCGTAGCGAATACCTGATGGTAAGCAATCAGCGCTGCCCATGGATATGGTCAACACTAAATTAGTTCTGTTGCTTGTTATTTGATTGGCTAATCAAAGTTAAAAACAATTATTTTAATAAGACCCTTACCTATAGGCGCTTTTGAACATCAAACAAAGGTTAACAATAAAAAGTTTCTATCTGCCGGTCAGTCCTCTTAGGGCTGATTTTCCATAGTCAACAATGAATTTATTTTTGCAAATAGGCCATAAACGGCACTTTTAGGTACACGTCAATTTATATGTGAAAAACTAGATGAAGTTGGCACTTCCTATCTGATTACTCTGAGAAGAAATGCCGAAACATACTCAGAGGTCAGTCTCATTCTCATGCTACCCATAAGCAAACTATTCACTCGGGCCTTGAAGACACCCAGGCTTTCGGGGAAAACAGACTCTGGCAAAAAAATCCAATCCTTAGTGGTCTTAAATAAAACTAAAGGCGAATGTTTTATTACTTATAAAAAATATTAATCAACCATTTTTTAAACTTTTACCATCTGTTAAATAGGGTTGGAAAATTGTCGACATAAAGTCGCTTTCTCTGTCCCTATATCCCTATGTACGCTTAAATCTTTAAAACTACGCAACGGATTTTGATGCGGTTTTTTTCGTTATATATAGAGTGATTGAAGAGAATGGTTTATATGTATACCTAATGACATCCATTAAATAGTGGAGAAATTGAGTACCAGCATTGCAGCGGAAAGCTAGTTTCTATAGTAATAAAATTTAGAAATATGTAGGTATATACAGCCGTATCAGCCTACTAAAAGTTATGACCATTAAGTTCACATGACCTAGCGAAATTAATATTTTAGTAGGTACCTACATAGGTATCTACCTATCTACTCGCGTATATTTATTTTTTATATAGATACAATTGCATATCGGAAGACATAATGCTATAACCATTTTCTACTAGTCATCCTTTTGGTTGTGCAGAGATAT